CCGTAAGTACTGAATGGTTATATGCAGTCTGTATATACCTGTAATGGTACAAGTATGCAATACGAGGAACGCCGGAAGCGTTCTTTAGTATTTTAGAGAGTGTTTTTGGTGCGTCTGCTACGGCAACGGAAAAGACGTTCGCCGGATCGGCTGAACATCCCTCCGCATCAACGACGACGTTGAGAAGAGTGAAGCTAGTGGTCTGCTTCTCAACGTCAAAAATCTTGATACCACCCTTGAAATATTTGTCCACAAGGGCCACAGCCTGAAATCGGGGGGGTCAAACAGAGGCAAAATAGATGGTCGACACTAACCTCTCGTTCAAGGCTTTCGGTGATAGTCTCTTCATTAACTCTAGACCAATAACTGTTAGCCTCAATGCGAGTGATATGCAGACACTCACTTGCATACGACAACCATGCGACAGCTATACGCCTTCTGACATCCAGCAATGTAATAATCGCCATAATTATTTCTGAATTCGGCGTCAGAAAGTTTGTCCAACCCCGCCTTGAGCCGCACATCCTCTGGAATGTAATCGACGGTAAAATCTGCCTCGACTTTGTACTGCACGAGAATCGTCGAAGACGAGTGGTTTTGCGACAAAACTGACGCGACCTTGGCATTGGCGCCAACAGGACACAGCACATTCACGGTTCCGCCAATTTCCATCTCGAATCCATCCTGCAATCCTTGACCCCCTTCCATTGCAGGCGCTCGACGGATATGCGGGTTTTGCCTGGCTTCGACGAGTCCGCCATTTTGGGATCGCGGAGTGCGCAGCGTGCCATGAATTCGCCAGTGAGAGCGTCGACCCCAAATCCTGGCCTGAAAGGCTCCGACCATGGAATTTTCATATGTTGCTCCAGCATCGTATGAGCGGTCTACGGTTAATTCTATAGTGAGCCGAGGCTAGCGCTACATATAAAAACTGACACACCTTCTTCTTTGGCTGGGTTGAAGCTGCGTCCACCCCATGGAGCGCTGGGGGCTTGTCGGGAAGACTCGTTGTTCTTCGATGCTGGTTGGTGGCGGGCGGCTTGAGCGTCCCATCTGGCGTTTTGGCACCATCTGGCGTTTTGGCACCATCTGGCGTTTTGGCACCATCTGGCGTTTTGGAACGGTCTGATTTAGGTTTGGGGGTCTTCGGAGGCGCTAGTAATGCAGGCTTGGTGTTATTCGCTGCACCACCCTGCGAAGATTTGGGTCCCATAAATTAAAGAGTAACCAAAAAGCAACAGAGTCCAAGTTGAGCAGTGGAGAGAGAAGCTGGTCCATGATAGACGCTGAGAGCGGTGGTCGGTTGCGGTCGGCCGAAGTGTGATGGCAAGCTTTTTTACATATGTTGGTTGTATGTTGGCCAAACTTCCGAATTCAAGGAAAAACCAAATGACATGTTCCCGTATTATAACTAATCTATAATTTATTCGCTCTTGACTTCCTCCATCCTGACCCACAATCCGCCCTACGCACACAGATATCAGATTCATCTAATCCCAGCATCGAAAGACTCAAACAAAACACACCTTAGCGAACATGGTCAAATGCCTTCCGAGCATAATCTTCTCCGTTGCCTGCGTGCCCTTCGCGTTCCTCCAGTGTGCAGGCGGCCTCGTCGCCTCCGGCTGGGCGTCCGGCGCGAGAGCAAAGCCCGTGAAGTTCTGGAGAAGGCGGACGAGGAAGAACGATGCTTCGTTGAGGGCGAACTGTGGGCGAGGAGGGGTAAGCTTTATGTCGGTAGAGGAAGGTCGGAGGTGGCAACGCGCCTGTTGACCAAGACAAATCCTGGGCCCTGGAAAGTTGGTGAGAAGTAGATTCACGGCGAAGGAATGATACGGGATGCATACCCGCATTGAAGGGAAGGAAAATGAACGGGTTCGGTGTGAGGTACTTCTTGACTCGTTCATCCAGGAAACGGTCCGGATCGAATTTCAATGCTGATTCATTGTGAGATTCATCTAGTGGACGACAAGAGGGACACGCACCGTCAGGCCCCCACAGGTCTTTGCGCCGGTGCATCAGAAACACGCTGTAGCGCACCCTTTTGTGCGGTATCAGGGACGACTATTCGAAAACACAAATAAATGAACGAACTTGGTGTTCGGTGTCACATAAAACGGTCCCCGGGTCTGATGGCAGGCAGGGTTGTAGCTTTCCTCGAAGTTCTGCGATAAACAGATCAGTCCAGAATCAAGTGTATCTGGGACGAAAGCGTGCCTGGCGTTAAACGGCCTAGGTACGAGATGAGTTAAGAACGATTAGTATCAGTAGGCCTTAACAGAGGAGCTTACACGGCAGGATACAATCTCAGCGTTTCTAAGAATTACGGAACATTGGTTAGGAAAATAGCATCACCGGGTTTAAGAACCGCACCGTTAAGGAACGCCCGCAGGTACTTCATGCTGCGCAGGTCGTCGTAGGTGATCATCCTGGAGCTTCCGACGGTATCGAGAATTTCTTTGCGCAGCCGGGCTGCAATTTCTGGATGTTCCGCAAGCATGTATACCGCGAATGTCAGGGTCGCGGCGGTCTGAAGAGGTATATCTGAGCGAACAAAAGTCATCGTGCTGTGTACGCACAGTGTCGCGTCCGGCAACCAGGATATTGAAAATCGAATCTTTGATGACTTCTTTGTCTACAAAAAGGTTTAGCTTTCAGGTGGTAAGTTGACAAAAGAACAAGACGTACTGTCTGTGGCCTGGACCAAATGACTCAAAAATGTCGCCTCCTCGTCGCCTTTCCCGCCCTCCAAGTCCTTGTCCTTCTCGTTTGCCTTCTTCCGCTCCAGCGCAGCGTCCAAAATCGGCTCGATATATGCGTCCGCGATGTCCCTGTGCGGCTTCACCTTGTCGGCCCACAACTCCGCAAGCGGCCATTTAGTTGCCAACGCGCTGCGTTTGACCGTCATCAACTGGCCGTAGGTGAACGCGCGGACGTAGGTGTTGGATGGATGGTTCAGGAAGGACGGGGCGTTGGAGAGGGGGGAAGACTCCGGGTAAGAAAGCCCCGCGGACATGGAGTCGACGGACTTGCCGAAGAGGAATTCGGTGGCAGAGTCAAGTGTGAAGCGAGAGACGCAGTCCTATATGTAAAAGAAGTGCTTAGACGGCGGCCTAGAAACACCGGTTAGAGTATTGACCTGAATGTCGACGGGGTAGCCATCCGCAAGGCGTTTCTTGAGGTGCGCCAGAGCGTCGCGGGTGTGGGTGTCGAAAGTGTCGAAGTCGCTGATACGTTCTGATTTTACATCGAGCATGAAAATGTGTGCGAGCATGCGGTCTGAATAAAGCTGCTGACCTCGATGGAAAAATGGGCGGCTCATACTGCGATGGAACTTCCACATGTCATCTACCCAACGAACGGATGAGCCATTTGGTACATTCGGAGGAATTAATCCGCGGGAATATATAGCTGCATACTCACCGTCAGCGTTGAAGACACCTGTGGTAATTATCAAAGGGTCTGCTAAAGGCAATAGAACGTAAAAACCATACCAGTCCCAAGCAACGATTGGCTCGAGTGCATACTGGCGGGGCCTAAAAATAATTATGAAAACGCCAATCCAGTGCATGCCTGCTCCGACATACCTTTCCAAAAATGGTCGAACTCCGTCGCCAGGATCGCCTTGATGTGGTCCGGCTCGATTGTGAATATCTGAGAGGGTGCAGAGGTGCGATTGGCGCCAACTCACAGGCATGAAATACAAATGAATACTTACCACGGGGTCAAAAGCGACTGTGGCCTTGAATGTGTTGCCGTATGTTTCAAACGAGTCGAGAAGAAAATCACCTATGTGCGAACCGGATGAATTGATAAGGAGGATGTCTATTCCAAAACAGTCTAACGGACCGGGATACTCTGTCTTCGCCAGGGCTGTCATCAAGCTCCACCCGCCAGGCCACTTGTCGTAGGCTTCAGGGATTGGTACGGCACCGCGCGCGGCCGCGTCTCGGGCGTTCCGGAACGTCATGTAGAAGTGGGCGAGAATAGTAAGGACCGGATGCGCAAGAAGCGCGGCAAGGAGCTGGCTCCACAGTGGTAGCAGCGGGACTCCCAAGTTGAGGCGGGGGAGGATGTGGCTGAGGAATACATACGTCACGATGGGGGGAATGAGTGTGCTGGGGAGCAGTTCGAGGAGATATGAAACGCCTGGGGTGGGCTTGATCATGGTTGTTTGGTGGAACGGGAGCGAGTGCGTCCTAAATATTTTCGTGGCCTGCGTTAAATAAAGTGCAGCGCTGCTCCGTTGATTTCATCCACGAAGACAGTTTGCTCGGAAGAGACGATGATTGCCATGGAAGGGTGGATGCGTTTGTAATCCTGCTGATCATCTCGCTCGCCTAAAATAGAAATCGCAGAAAAAAAGGGCTCAGTCTCGGAGAGTAACTCAGTGGGCCGGACTGAGGGTGCCCGGTTGCCGGCGGTTCAAAGAGGGGATACGAAAACCGAGTACGGAGGTAGAACTATGAGAGCCAAGCCAGAGCATTATATCGCCAGGAATTGAACACAAGCGCTATTGCTGCGAGTGGGTTGAACTGAGTGCGGCGTCGCGCTGCCCTGGGCTCGCCCGATATTGACCGGAACCGGATGGCAGCGAGCGGAACCGGATGACAGTGGGCGGAAGACTTCCGAAGAGACGAGCGGATGTTGGTCTCGTGGGTAGTTGGTGTGACTTCAATAATAGATATCCCTGGCCAGGCTAGGTCGAGAACTACATAAGCGGTTGAGGAAGACTAGTAGCTGGCTAGGCTGGCTAGTTAGCCACACCCGCAGTCGGCCACCACGCGGCGCGACTTGCGTCTAGGCGTCTAGAATGAATTAGTAGTTGTGGGAGGCGCCGTCTGATTGGGGCTGCAGAAAAAGCGGGCAAGTGAGCTTCGGGTGGTGGTGATTGTCAACTTGTTCAAGTTGGGGCGGCTGTCGCTCTGATGTGGAACTCCGTACCGCACGGGAAGCCGAATGAATGCTGGTAGGACACTAGTTGTAGATTCCAAAACATGTCTTGACTAGTATATCGGTTAGTACACGCGCTTGTCATGGCTCGATTACGTGATCGCATAATCGCGCGAAAGCTGGGTTCGACTCCCAGGTCGAGAGTTTCTTTTTTGTCATCTTTCTTTTTGTCTGAATCCATTTCTGAATTGAACTCGCTTCTTCGTCTCCGTCCATAACTATTCGTTACTCCAAGTTTTAACTCGGTGCTAGAATACTGACACAGCTGCCAAATGCCTTTTTAGCACGGCGGCGGAGTGCGTGAAGAAATTTGAAAGAAAATCCACACGTAAGAGTTGTGGGTCGAGAAAATTGTTGGCTAAGACAGAAATTCGAATTGGGTAGCATGGGCATACAGCAGGTATCAACAAAAGACATCACATCGCATCACATAACGGGCAAAAAAGCACTTATCGGCAACAAGTGCAGGTACCGTAGACCGAGACAGGTATGCGATAACAACAAATCGGACGGTGAAATTAGTCGCGCGTATATATGCGTGTCCTGTACATGTAGATGCAAAGTTGAAGACCGTGTGGTATTTGCTTGTCGGCAAAGGGCGAGGGAGGGGTCGATAATTGGGAGGAAAGCAGAAAGCAGAACTGAGGAGATGGGTAGACGTCAGGGAGGAAGTCTTAGAGCGGCTGGAAAACTGGGGGCACTGGGACCGGTGGGATTCGGGTGGATGGGTTGGCGTGGCGTGGCGTGGTGGCCGAGCCACTAGGAATTGAAGGCCGAGTCTTCTGAACGGGACACTGCTTCATCAGCGCGCGCGAGGGTTGATGGGCATTTGAGCTTGGAGTTCAGTGTTTGTGCCACTTTTTGATCTTGGACTGGGACACAAGCGGCTCCGGGTAGGAGGGCAGAGCGAGATTGTTATTGGATATGCAGGAGGAGGAGTGTCGTTGCTAGCAGGCTTTTACGGCCCAACTTGCAGAACCGTCGGCTAGTTGGTGAGCCTCGGTGCCGCATCGTACGAAGCACACACTTCCAGCCGAAGAGCAGCAGAACAGAACCGAGGATTAGATTTAAGGTTAACGCTTGGGTGAACGTTTTAAAGGGATCAGCAGCTGTCGGGTTTTGCACTCCTGGATGTTCCGAGCGGCAGTAGTCGCTGTTGAGTGCCCAGAGAGAAGCCGCCAGAACGCCGCAAGAGGAGTGCGAGTGAAGGTACGCGAAGAGCGGCATTGGGTGCCCTTGCCCAGGAAGCCGTCGTCATCGTAGGAGTCGTCTTTTGAGGAACCTGAAAAGCCAAAACTTGTACCAAGGTCCTCACGGGCTGCTTCAAAGTAGGTGATAGTACACAGAGCCGTCGTGTGAGGAAGCTGAAAGCCGCAACAAGTCCTATCTGCGAACCACGTTGGGTGTTTGAGGCACGTTGGGTGTAAGAGGTAAAGTCTATCGATGATTGATGATTACGTTGCGCTGATCCTCGCCGTTTTTTCTTCTTGCTATCATCTCGTCGATGGCCAGCAGTGGCCGTCGCACCCACCGCAAGAGAATATCCGCCCTGTCTTCAGACACCACAAACACCCTCCCAGAGTACATCGGCTGGCACGACCTCATCCCGCCCGGCGCCGACGCCGATGCCGACAACGATACAGACGACGCCAACGACGACGCGGATCTCAAAGTCGTCTCAAGGCCAGCGTACATCCCGCCACCATCTTGCCGCGACTGCAGCATCAACAGCAACGGCGGAGCCACCGCCGCCGCGTCTCAAGTCCACTTCAGCAGACGGACGTCCTCCTCGACTCGTTGTTGGAGCGCAGCGTGGTCAATTGCGTGGCACCGTTTAGTGAGTCGTCTTTGTGAAAAGGGTGAGACAAAACGCTGATTGCAATAGATGGTGGTCGGCGGATCGTATACGGAACCGACAAGGGGGTATACATCTCGGACCTGCGGGATATCAGCAAGGACCCGGTGAAGGTGCCCGCGCTGCTCGATGTGGGCCAGGTCGACGTCCTTGAGGACTACCAGCTGCTCATTGTGCTCTCCGGTGCATGCCGCCCTTCTGATCCTCGTTAGCTTTTCTGACGCCTCGTCCTACAGAGCACCAAGTGCTGACGTTCCCGCTCGACGCACTGGACCCGATGGATTCCAACGCAGGGCTCAAGCGCGCCTAGCGCATTGCCACGCACACATCCTTCTTCAAGGCAGGGTTCTGCTTCGTTTCACCGCTGTGTGCTCAAGGTCGTCGGTGGGTAGGAATTCTACATTCCAGTCGAGTCGACGTCAATACACTACCTCAAGACACGGATGTGCATTGGGTGCTTGAAAGGCTTTGAGATTGTCGATCTCGAGTAGCTGGAGATACAGGGGCTGCTCGACCCTTCCGACGAGTCCCTTGAGTTTTTCCGGAAGTGTGAAGGTCTGCGCTCCATGGCAATATATCGCATAAATAACGATTTTTTACTCTGCTACGATGTGCACTCAAGTGATATCTGTGTTTCTTGCCATTGTCTGAATACCCTTGCAGTACCTGTTGCAGTAGTCCTTCAATATAATGGTTTTATAATCTTCCTGCAATGCCATGACAATATTGCAGTTCATTATTTTCAAGTTACTGAGAGCATTGGCAAGGACGAGAGAGGTTGGAGCCAGGGCAGGGAACGTGTCTGAGAAAGAACATCCAAACTCTTCAGGTCTTTTGCCCGCCAGCAATTTTCTATCGACTATCAAATTTGGTCGGCTCGGCTGCCACTGCTGTCCCGCTCCCGTTGACGGCCGTCATTTTGCTGTCCCGTACCATCTCAGGCCCAAAATGCTGAAAAGACGGCAGCCAATTTGACAGCCGTACCCGTTGATGGGACGATGGGGCATTGCTGTACTCTCTGCCCTTCCCCTTCACCTCGGCACCGTGCTCGACCAGCAGCCACACCATCTCAATGAGCCCATTTGAAGCAGTTGCTTGCAGTGCGGTGGTGTTCACCTCGGCGCCGTGCTCAAGCAGCAGCTGCACCATCTTAATGTGCCCATTTGAAGCAGCCGTGTGTGTTATTGTATTTTCCGCCCTGCGCGTTCACCTTGGCACCATGTTCGAGCAGCAGCCGTGCCATCTCAATGTCCCTGCTGATGGATGCCACTTGCAGTGCAGTGCCGTAGTATCCACCCTTCCTGTTCACCTCAGCACCGTGCTCGACCAGCAGCTGGACCATCTCGACATGCCATTCGAAGCAGCCACTTGCAGCGCGGTGGCATAATATCCGCCCTGCGCGTTCACCTCGGCACCGTGCTCAAGCAGCAGCCGCATCATCTCAATGTGCCCATTTGAAGCAGCTGTGTGCAGCACATTATTGTACTTTCTGCCCTGCGTGTTCACTTTGGCACCATGCTCAAGCAGCAGCCGCACCATCTCGATGTTGCCCATTCGAAGCAGCCGCTTGCAGCTTGGTGTAATTTCCGCCCTGCAAATTCACCTTGACACTGTGCTCAAGCAGCAGCTGCATCATCTCGATGTTCCTGCTGATGACCGCTGCTTGCAGCATGTTGCCGTACTCTCCACCCTTCCTGTTCATCTTGGCACCGTGCTTGAGCAGCAGCCATGCCATCTCGATGTGCCCATTCGAGGCAGCTGCTTGCAGCGTGGTGCCATAATGTCCACCCTTCATATTCATCTTGGCACCGTGCTTGAGCAGCAGCTGCGCAATCTCAACATGCCCCTCTTTGCCTTGCCTCTGGTGTGTCACCTGCAAGGATAAACAGCACTAAATCTACTATATATTATAATCCCCTGGACACAGAAGGTTCCAAACAGAAACTCTGACATCATACCTCGGGCAAGATTAGATGCAGGACGAGCCGTATCCCCGGCTTGAAACCGGCATGCTCCAAACACAGCCACTTGCCAGTTGCTCAACCAAGCGGTTGTAGCTTATCTCAAGCTCATGCCTAACTATAAGTAGCGCCACAAGCTTACTCCCTTTGAGCTCTCTTACAAGTTTAGATCACTCCGAAAAAATGTCAAGCAACTCTCAACACACATGGCAGGACCTCGACTTGAACTCAGGCAATGATCCGGGTTACCAGCCTGAGTGTACTATGTAGATGCTTTTGGTTACAACACGGACTCCGTGAAAGAGGGTTATCAAACGAGAACAGACGGAAGCTGTTAACGAGATACGGAAGCAAGATTAGACCCAATACGACAAGAAAATATGTCAGACAACACAAGCAGTTGACGAGACACGAATTCGTGCCAGAGCTACCAACAAGGTGAAACGGTGACCAGTCGGACGAGACAAGGCCCGCCGAGACCAAACCCTCACAGAACAAAAGACCATGGTCGCGAATTGACACGACGAGACACAGCTGTTAGGTTCATGGGACAAGAACTTCTGCAACGAAATAAGATGTTAACAATACGAGACAGGACCTGGAAGTTTATGAGACAAGGCGAGACAAGATCAGATACCGCACCCACAAAACGAGATGAGACCTACGGCGACAGGAGGTGCGACTGACAAGACACAACTTCCTGCAAGGTCGGCGACGAGATGAGGCCTGGGTGGGTCTAAAAGGTTTGGGACTGTTTTTTTTTTCATAAAAACTCGTGCTAGCAATGACCCGTGAATAAAATTCACGGGTAACACCTAGTTGCACATATCATTCCGCATCTGCCACTGCCACTCACTCCATGTTCCTGTGGTCCTTGGTGACAAGCTACTCACATGCTGGGATGCCCTATACCCAGAGGGATTGAGTTTCAATCTTTCCTCACAAGAAGGGCAGGCTTCCAAAGGTGCCAAATAAATATTGGCCTGACATTGGTGTTGAACTCTATTTCAAAATTTCCAGTATGAAGAAGTTGGACTTGAGTGAACTGAAACATCAGGAAAAATCGAAATTGCTACATAGACCAAAATAGCCCAGTAAGACGGAGAAGAGACGCCATAGTGGACAGCCATCTATGGAGAAAGGTGGGGGGGGCGGTGTTTTCTCTCATAGACACCCATAGCAGCCACCATGTCTATCAATGTCCGTCATAGCCATAGGCCTAATAGGAGCCATAGTACGCATAGTCCGTATGGTCAACGGTATCTGAATCGGGAGCGTAGCCACTTCATAGCAATTATAGTCACACACATTTCAAAGCAGAAAACATT